TCCTGCGAGAGAACACACGTAAGGTCCTCGGTGAGCCGAAAAAACACAAAAAACTGAGATTTACCGGCGACGGAGCTCTCCGGTGCGGCGGCTCCTCCGGGGCGAGTCGCGATTTGGTGTTTTGTTCTAGTTAACCTGTAGAGGGAGGAACGGTGGTCACAATGGTGGAAAAATTACTTTGAACGGGAATCGAAAAGGGTCTCATCGGAGGCAAAAATCGAGGAAACCCGCGGCAGCACCGCTGGGCTTTAGCGGCGTTTTTCGGCCAATTGGTCGGTGGTTTGGCTCCGATTTAGTCACAGGTGGGTTTAGAATCGAAATTCGAGTCAAGAAATTTTTTTTTACCTCATTTAGCAGCTGGAAAGTGCTCCGATGAGGCGGTGGGTGGCGGTGGTCGGTTCCCCGGGTGGCTGGGCGGTCTTCTCCGGCGAGGGCTCTGGCGGCTAGGGTTTGGGTTTGGGTGTGGATGAGATTATTTATAACCTTCCGCTTTTAATCTTAGCCGTCAATCGCGATTTAATCTGGTCCGTCCGATCGCGATTAAGTTAGAAATAAATATGGACCATCCATCGCGATGTGATCTAGGCCGTCCATACGTGATTCAATTTGGGTCGTCCGCACGCGTGCAATTTGAGTCATCCGCTCGCACTTTTGATCTGGGCCGTCCGTGCGCGCGGGGACAGATCTCAGCCGTCCGATCGCGCGCACGCGGATCGCCCACGTGGCTCCGTTCCACATGGCCTCTCGCGTCAGCGTCTTTGCCACGCGGCGTGTTCTGGTTGGCCAGGGCTGCTGACGAGGCTTCTGACGTGATTTAATTTTTTTAAATTGCGTTTTGACCCATAATTTTCGATTTTCTTTTCAAAAATACCATCAGAATCCGAATTTTCACCAATTTTTCTCAAAATCATTTTTAATTAAGTCCCAAAAATAATTTTACCCATTTTTATCATTACTATTATTTTTATTTCTATTTAATTAAATTAAACTAAATTAAACCCATATATTATTACATAAATAATCATTTAATTTATATAAAATTTACAAAAAATTAAAATAAAATAAAATAATATTCATAAAAATAATAATAAATTTGGGGTGTTACATATTGTAAGTTCTTGAAGAGCAAACCTGTTTTATTCTTTATTTATTATTGTAGGATGTTTTTTGATTTCTTCATATTTTTTCTTTTTTTTATAAAAAAATACTATATACATAAAATGAAGTAAATCACAATATAATAATATAGTATAATACTATATTATTTATTCAAGCTTATAAAAATGAATATTTTTTTGCAATTAATATTTTGTATTAATGCATAACTACTTTTCTTTTAATAAAAATTTAATTAAATAAAACATCTTAACACTCTAAATATATGTATCTTGTATTCAAATACACATACGTACATGTGTATGTATATATTTGTATATATATATATATATATATTTCAACAAACCCAAACGTATTTCAGATATTATAAATTTTTTTATTTTTCCCAGTGCAAAATGGTTTTCTTCTATACCCTATTATTGAGGAGAAGCCATAACGATTTGAACTAGTGCCCATATTATAATTATGAAACAGATGATGAGTAGGCTGCATTTCATTTCTCTCCAAAACTCACCATGAGAAGAAGGGAACAGTTGCAGAAAATGGCTTAAGTTTTAAAAAAAGAAGGGAAGAAAAGAAAAAAACTCGAGCGAGGAAAGGAATTGAGTCCGTAGCAGTAAACGGGCAAAAGCCAAAAGCCAAGATTTGTGGTTAACCATTCGTCTCTCTTATGTCCGTCTGCGAAATCATCGGCCTCTGTGATCCCCCTAATACTTTTTCGGCCAAACTAATCACACTCTCCCTCTTCATCCACCCCTAAGTTTTTCATCCCCCATCAAACAACAAATAAACCTAAACCCCCCTTTTTGATTCATCGCACCCTGAGATCTGCTTTCTTCTTCTCTCATTCTGTTTCCATCTTTTCTCTGCAATCAATTTGATTTGTACACTTCGTGATTTCGAATTCAGTGCATTGAAACATCTCTGATCAAGCTCCCTTTCACGATTCCCGAGACGATAACCCTCCTTTTCCCGCGATTTTCAAAAGGTATGTGCTCTCTCTCTCTCTCTCTCTCTCCCTTTCTCTCTCTCTCTCTCACACACACACATTTTCTCAGCTAATCACCACATTTCGCTGTTAAACTGCTTTTCCGAAATCTAAATCGAACTTCGATTTTGCTTTCTTATCGCAATTGAGGTCTGCCAATTTTCTGATACGTCCCAATTATGTCCTATTTTGTCCATGTGTTTTCCGTTTTGGCATATAGTAGTAGATCTGTGGATCGTTGTTGTTATCTGGATCTGATCGGGTTTGTCCATATTGAAATCCGCGCATCACTTTGCGTTGGATTTAGCGATTTATCTCGGCATGAGCAATGAACGACCTTTTTGCCCCTGTTTGCTTCTGCGCATAATGTGACTTGAACGGTATTTTTCTCTTTTATGCGGTCTCTAAAGCCCTTGTGAAATTGAGAACCATATCTACAGGGTTGTTTTGAGCTGCATTGCTTTTTCGCGGAGTACTGATTGGGACGAAATCTCTAGCGACCCTTGTTTCAAAAGTTGAAGTTTGCCCTTTTCCTATTGATGCATTGCCAAGGTGGACTCAAATGAGTTAGTTGATTGGGAAAGAAAAATGTGTTGCTTGGGGAAGCCCAGGTTACTCTAGTCTGTGAGATTTTGCTGCGTACTTGGATTACAAGAGATATACTGTGCGCATTAATCTTTGTTGATAGTGTCCTGCAGTGGGCTGGGTTATTTCAAGTTTCTCCAATGTGGCAATTGGAGAATGCTTTATGACTTCTGGGCAGCCTTTGCTGTCATCAGATACTTCTTCTGCAGTGCATCCTCGAAATCACAGCTTAGGATCCATTGGTTGCCTCTGCAGCAATGTTTCTTTTTCATCCTCTAGCTTTGAAGAGGGACAGAGCAATTACTTAGATGTAAAGGAAGGAGAAGAAGAAGAAGCTTTCTCTGTTGGTGAAACTGCTTTTCAGCCAAGTCCCCTTGAACGTACTCATCCACTAGAAAAGACAAGGAAGTTCCACTCTGTTGATCTTCAATTCTTACGGCAGATCTCATTGGTGCGCCCCACGCGCGAGAGGAAACATCTGGTATCGTGGGGTGCAATGGAACTGAACAACAATGCCAATACTTCCCCAGCCTTTGAAATTTCTAGAACTACTACAGTACAACGAGAAAAGTTCCACAAGTCACAGAAGTCCTGCCGGAAAAGTGTGGGTTGTGGAGATAACTTGTTACATGGAGAGAATCCTCGATTGATATATATCAATGATCCAAGAAGGACAAATGACAAGTATGAGTTCACTGGGAATGAGATTCGAACTAGCAAGTACACGTTGATCACTTTCTTGCCAAAGAATCTTTTCATTCAGTTCCACCGGGTTGCCTATTTATACTTTCTGGCTATAGCTGCTCTGAACCAGCTTCCACCTCTTGCAGTTTTCGGTAGAACAGTATCCCTTTTTCCACTCTTGTTTGTGCTTTGTGTCACGGCAATTAAAGATGGCTATGAGGATTGGCGAAGGCACAGGTCAGATAGGAATGAGAATAACAGGACGGCACTGGTGCTTCAAGATGGGGAATTCCGACCAAAAAAATGGAAAAAGATATGTGCTGGTGAGGTTGTCAAGATTCATGCTGATGATACAATTCCATGTGACATGGTTTTGTTGGGTACAAGTGATCCTAGTGGACTTGCTTACATTCAGACGATGAACTTGGATGGTGAGTCAAATTTGAAGACAAGGTATGCTAGGCAAGAAACAGCTTGTGTGGTATTTGAGGGTTCCACAGTATCGGGTTTGATAAGATGCGAGCAACCAAATAGGAACATTTATGAGTTTACTGCCAATATGGAATTCAAAGGACAACAATTCTCCCTTAGCCAGTCAAATATTGTTTTGCGTGGTTGTCAGTTGAAGAACACGGATTGGATAATTGGTGTTGTGGTATATGCTGGACAGGAAACTAAAGCCATGTTAAATAGTGCTGCATCTCCTACCAAGAGAAGCAAGCTAGAAACTTATATGAACAGGGAAACCCTGTGGTTGTCAATTTTTCTTTTTGTCATGTGTCTGGTCGTGGGCCTTGGAATGGGTCTATGGCTCAACCGTCATAGGGAACAGCTTGATACCATGCCTTATTACAGAAAAAGATATTTCAAAAAAGGGAAAGATAGTGGGAAAACATTCAAATACTATGGGATCCCAATGGAGACTTTCTTTTCCTTTTTGAGTTCTATTATTGTATTTCAAATCATGATCCCAATCTCTCTTTATATCTCAATGGAATTGGTTCGTTTGGGGCAGTCGTATTTCATGATTGAAGATAGGCATATGTATGATGATAGCTCTGGCTCGAGGTTTCAATGTAGATCATTGAATATAAATGAGGATTTAGGTCAAGTACGATATGTATTTTCTGATAAAACTGGGACACTTACTGAAAACAAAATGGAATTTCGAAGAGCAAGTATTCATGGAGGGAATTATGGGAGCTCTTTTCCTCCTATTGGTTCGTCACAGCAACAAAATACAACAGGTATTATCTGAAGACCTTTTCTCATTTTGTAACTCCTTTCTGTTAACTTTTTAGTAATTTTTCAATTGTTTCAATGCTCTGCTTGCTATATGTTTTGAGTAGATATTTATCTTTTTTTTTAATCATGTATATCTTAATGGTTATTGCTATTTATTGTGCTTGAAAAAATATATTATTTTAAGAACAAATTACAGTTTGATATTTGGTAGTTTAATGTTTTTTACATTTAGTAGGCTATAGCTTATCTTAGCAGTTTTAGTACTCTTGATTTGATCATTAGTAAGACAATGTAAAATCATTATTTTGAACAGGAGGTGGGTTGGTATCTTAAAAAAATTTGATATCTGAAAAATTCATACAGTACCATCTAAATCAACAGAAAAAAAACTGAAGTTTACTAATTTTGACACATAGACTTCCTCAAAGCAATCTATATTTTTTTATTCTTTTATTATTTGTTTGTATTTGAAGTTTTATTGTTTAGTTTATTTTTTTTATTTTAGTTTATTTATTTATTTTATTATGGAAATTTAGATATGATCCATTTGGTTGTTAATTTTTTAAAATTTAGGCTATTCATGTATTAAACTAATGGTATTATTTTACATAAAGTAGCGGTTAAACTACAAGTTAAACTGCTAAAAGTAAATTACATTCATTGAATCTTGCAGTTTCAAACTACAGAATATCAAACTGTAATTTGCAATTAATTTAATCAATCAAACTGAATAAACATTCTTTTTATCTTGGCATTGCACAGTTGGTTGCAGTTGCAAGATCTTTTTATAAAAATCATATTTCCCAAGTAAAATTTCTTGCATCTAGCTATTTAAACTTAAATGCTTGCTACTGCTTTGCTGCTAATATTTTTGTTAATTTTCAATTATCACATTGTTTCTTTTGTTGTGTGTTTTACTTTTATATATCCCTCTTCTTTTTTATGTGTATTTTAATCGTTATTGCTGTTCATTTGGTCACCGAGATATTACTTTAATCGTACTGAATAACACATTTTTGTACAGGCAATGCGTAATTACTTGCAGTTGTATATCATTTTATAAAAATAATGTTTCAGAGATCTCTATGATATTTTGTTTTATAATGTTTCTACGTAGGCAAATCTCCTTTACTGCTAATACTTTTATAATTTTTCGTTTGTCCCACATTTCTTTTGCTGTGTATTTTCTGCAAATATATTCCTCTTGTTATTTGTATTTTAATTTAATGGTTATTGTTGTCCAATTTGGTTGCCAAGATATTAGTTTCATCTGACTTCAAATCTCATGGTCCTGGCCTTGGGATCTGTTCACAGGTCCAACAATGAGGAGCTTTGAAGTAAGCCATTAGTGTGGTTGTTGGATTTGTGGCCTTGACAACCTATCTTGAGGCTTATTTAAAAAGAACCTCCAAATTCCAGAGCTTGCCCCGTTTTTTAGACTACTTAACTAATTTTTTGATACGTTTTGTTAAGGATGGTTTGATATGTATTCTATTTAATATTACAATTTTATATATACACATTCTTATAGGACGGGAAAAGGAAATAAATAACTAGTTACAATTAATTATAAAAGATGTAATTTACCCGTATATCCTTTAACCTAATTTACTCTTTCTTTAACGCTTCCTTTCAAGATGGAAAATAGATGTTTGTCTATCTCCAACTTGCCAATAAGAGCTTGAAATGCCGAATTTCTTTAGCCTTTATTTAATACATTTGTCTGTTGAAAATTGATAGGCACATGTGAGGTATATATTAAGCCACTGTGAAGTTTTTCATTGATGAAATGTTTATGAATCTCGATGTATTTGGTTTGGTTGTGTGCACCAGAGTGTGAGCGATGCTTATGACCGATTTATTGTTACGGTATAGGTACCTAGAGTTTTTCCACTTGATTCCAAGATCTTCTAAAATTTTTTTTATCCATAATAGTTCAAATACCTCTCATGCCATTTTCTGGAATTTTAATTCTGCACTTAATCTCTCAATTATATTTTATTTTTTACTTCTCTAGTTGATTGAGTTGCCTCCAAGAAGGTACAATATCCTATGATATACATTCTGTCTACAACTGAATCTGTATAATCTGCATCAATATAGCTTTTACGAGTAGTTTATCACTCTTGCCGAACATAACTCTTTTTCTAGGTGACTTTTTTAGGTAATGGAATACTCTATAGGTTTCTTGTAGGTGTACTTCTTTCGGAATGTGCATGAATTGTCTTATGACACTCACTGAATATGCAATTTTTGATCTCATGTGGGATAGGTATATCAATCTCCCAACTAATGTTTGATATATTTCTTTCTTTGCTTGTATATCTTCTTTTACTATTCCTAATTTGTGATTAGGATAAATAGGAGTACTAACTGGTTTATATGTTAACTTGTTATTGTCTCTCAACAAGTTATGAATGTATTTTTTACTGAGAAATAAAAATTTAAGATTTTGAGTGGATGACTTCAGTTCTTAGTAAATGCTTCAACTTATCAAGTTTATTGATTTTAAATTCTTTTATTAGACAATATCTTAGTATCAGTTTTTCTTTCTTATCATCTTCTGTTGTGATAATATTATCAACGTATATTAGGAGAGTTGTAGCTCCCCTTGTCTCTGAGTGTTTGGTAAATAGAGTGTGGTCTGTTTAAATCCTAAATCTATCATCATTCTTACATACCTATAAAATCATACTCTTGCCGGTTGTTCGAGTTCATACAAAGTCTTCTTTAATTTACTTAACTTCTTTGGTCTTGGTTCTTTGTCAAAAATGAGATATCCATAAATTTTTTCTTTAAAATCTTCATGCAATAAGAATTTTTTTTTTGACATCAAATTGTTGTAGTTGTCAATCAAAATGAGTAGTTAATGACAACAAGATTGGCTTAATATTCATTTTGGCTACTGCTGTGAATGTTTTCTGATAATCTATCCCATATGTTTGTGTTAGTCTTATGCCGTCAGTCTCGCTTTATTTTTTTTTGAAATATGCTGGTCTCGCTTTATATATCTCAT